ACTGAGGAAAGCAAATACTACTACTAAGTTATTGGAAATCGTGGTGCCAACCCTAAACCTAACTGTTTAAAATATACAATAACTATTTATATGTAATATTAGGATACACTTTTTTCAGATGAAATAAATTTCACTTTCTTAATTTCATTTCTTTCAGCCAATTGTAACTTTGACAATGGAGATACCTGCGGTTATCAAAATGGCGCTGGACAGTTTAATTGGAAGGTTAATAGAGGTTCAACATCCAGTAGTGGAACAGGGCCAAGCTCTGACGTCAGCGGCAGAGGTAAACTGTTCAATAAACTTTTAGGTCTTAATTTCAACCTCAAGTTCAACTTTGTGACGTTACAGTTAGTTTTAGTCAATGTGACTACGCTTTCCAACCTTTTACAGGTTTTTATCTGTTCATCGAAACTTCAAGTCCACGACAGTTCGGTGATAAAGCTACAATTTTAACATCTTACTTGAACGGCCCGCAATGTATGAAATTTTCTTACCATATGTACGGTGGTGGTATTGGAGCCCTGAACATCTATGCGAATAACCAAAGCATATTCTCGAGATCGGGAAATCAAGGAAACAGATGGATAAGTGAGGAAACGTCAATCTTAGAAGGTGGAAGATATATGGTGAGTAAAGAAATCAGTGTTTCAGACACACAGATATTACAAAATTTGAGCCAAAGACCATTCTTTTTCCAAAACGAGAAGGAAGAGGGCCCTGAGGAAATTTGAGTACGAACGTTGGTCATTCTCTTGTTGTGTCTGAACCCACAATACATTTGCCTCCAACCCGAAAGGATAATCCAATGCTGTTGTTGCACAAAAATTTAGTGTGAATTTCCTTTTCAAGAGTCAAAATGAAACTGATTATCCAAATTATTTGTATAAATATTTAAGGTTGAGTTTGAAGGCGTTCGCGGTCGTAGTTACGAAGGAGATATTGCAATCGATGCTATCAGCTTCACTCCAGGAAGTTGCCCATTCCAAACACCAAAACCACCTACACCTCGACCAACAAATCCTCCAACATCATCAACAAACCCTCCCACACAAGCAGGTACTGTAGTGGTTTACCACTTTTACAATTTTTTAGTTAATACAACCAAGTCATTATATACCAATGACGATCACATGCCCGGGTTGTGGTCCACTGCGCTTTCAGCTTCCAAGGTGTGGATACTGACTTACTGCGACGTCCAATACCTTTTGCTAGGAACTTGCCTCGAATTTGGCTTTTGGCGCGAATTTCTACTTAATGTAATTACACAGGGTGTGGGTTCCAATTCACCCCACCAAGAGGCTAACGATAAATGTGCCCGACAACTAATGCCCAATGGATTAGTTTTCGATGAGGAAGAAAAATAGGTCGACCCGGAAAAAACTCATTGAGGACAGGAGAGAACCAAACAAAGAAGCACATACAATAACTGAATGCAAGCAATATACCCTACGCTGGATCAACAGCAGCAGGCTCAATTCATCGGCCTTCACGCCTTCCTATGTTATTATGGGTTGCATGCATGCATTCCCTTTTTATCTCGCAACTGCAGAGTTACGTTTGCATCTTCGTTTCCAGACCATATGTAGTGTTTTTAATTGTCCTGTTTAGTTCGCACTTCGTGAGGCCAGGGCGGGGTTGATGTCGAGTTAAATGATACGGAACTGGAAGTGAGTCAGGTCTGTTCACATGCCAGCCATCGATCGGCCAGGTGTCAAGCATAAACTTGTGCAAAGAGCTACTGACGTTTTTCCATCGAATGTCTAGTCGAGTAAAGCACAATTACAAGCTCTCCCATTTGGACAAATTGGATCATTGACTGAGTAAACCAAATACTAATATTACAGAGCGTTTGCAGCAAGTGGGGCCACTTAGAGAACACTAAAGGCTCTGTTACACGGTGCAATTGTTCATGCAACTTGTCTCGCAATGGCGTTGCGAGACAAGTTGCACGAGTCATTGCACCGTTTAACATGCCTTGCAATGGTCAAAATCGTTGCGAGACAAGTTGCATGAAGCATTGCAGAGAGTAGAAGTCGGTTCTACTTTTGGCAACGATTGCACTAATCCCCGAGCCGGCGGCGCGAAGCGCCGTGCGAGGGTACTAATTCCCCCCGGCTATTTACACCCGGGGAAACGAAAGCATTAGCGAAGTCTAAAGTTCATCAATGAGCGCGGGCGTCGGTCACCAACGATGGGTAGTCATCCTCACTGATCTCAAAAATATGGTGGACTGTCATGAATAACGGACACTGATTGGTCCAATTTAAAGTTTGCATTATAACGACTGCATGACGACAGCGAAATAGCAAACATTTCTTGATTTGATGAGTTGATGATTGATAAATTTCTTGCAAATATTCTTCATTTTTGCTCGTATTTCTGCAAGATTTTGTAAATTTCAAGAATGAAAGGGCGAAAGAATCAGCTAAAAGAAGGGAGCCGACGTTAACGAAGGTAAGTTTGTTTTAAATATTGATTTTATAATGGCTTTAAAACCCGACGGCTTTTGCGTATATCAAACAACTATTAAAACAAGACAGCATATAATTTCAGTGTATCTTTAATATTGATTCCCTTTTTTATTATATTGAATTTTTAAATAAAAAATAAAGCAAAGTTATTTGCAAGCGAGAATTTGAAATCATTTTATTGCAAACTCAAAGTTTATCGATAAAGCCATTTAATAGTTAAAGGCTGTTTAGTTTTATAAAGAACACTTTAAAACGTTTTGTGAATTGTTTGTGGTTGAATTTTACCTTAAATTGAAGCTTGTATTACGTATAATTACATACGTAACATATATATGTTGGGAAATTGATAATTTTGTAATTAAAAGTGATATTTTTAGGCGATTTTCATTTGTAAGAATATTCTTAAAAAATTATCGTGTTAACATGACAACTACTTCAGATATTTCATGTTCGGAAAATACAACGGTTTTGTCAGCAAGGCGAGGGTTTCTGCATGCATGTATTTTCTAGTTATATTTAGCATTGCAGCGTGTAACATGCAGTGCTCTCACAATCAAATTTTCGAATTCCTTAGAAAAAGCTCGAAAATTCCTCAGATTTCCTTATAATTCCTTAAATTGGAAAAATTATCAGAAGGCCTGATCACACAGTTGCAAAAAGTGTTTTTTCCTCCTTTTTTCTGTTTTTCAGTTTTTATAACCTTGTTTCTAAGCACTAAAATTTGAAAACATTTGATTGTTAGCGTAATGCCATAAAGAAAACATTCAAAATGATGTATTTTTGATTGTTGCTGCATGAAGAGCGTAAAAAAATCTGTAGATTTCAGAAGAAACAGCATATACTGACATTTAACTTTTGAGAATTTTAATGAAAAGACCAGTAGCGGACACTTTACGAAATATGGGGGGGGGGGGAAGCTCGTGAAAAATTTTAAAATTTGAATGCCGGAAATGGCATTTGCAGGGTTCTGAGAACACATTTTGTAAAAAACTAGGGTTTCAAAAAACACTGTTTTAAGTTTTGTTATAAATCACATGCCAAGCCATGTACAGAAACATATACTATTATATTATGATGACAATTACGTTATATGAGTGTGATTTGTGTTATTTGGTACTGGAACCAAATTGGTACTGGAACCAAATTGGTACTGGAACATGGCCCGAACATTTATGACATAGAGAACATACGAATATTTAACAATTATTCGCCGAAGGCGAGGTGATTATCGGTGAATAAAAACCGAGACGAAGTCGAGGTTTTTATTCACGATCATCACCGAGCCTGAGGTGAATAATTGTTTTAGTATAATTTCATAGGTGATTATTTGGAAAAAAATAAGAAAATACACATTTCTTTGTCATTTAATTGACAAAAAGGCTTCGGCTTGAAAATCACTTAGGTGATTATCGCGTAATAATCTCCTCAACGGCAACCAATCAGCGTGGAGAATTTTCAATAATCACCTATGTAATTATACTAAATGTAATTATGTGCGTATAATGTTGCTACTTTCAAGTTTAAATCTCATTTGCGTGGCGTGGTTATCCTCCGTCCAACGTTTTTAGTCCAGGATAAAATGTTTCGGAAATTCCTTAAAAAATCCTCAAAAACCTAAATTCCTTAAAAAAATCCTTAAAACTCTTCAAAATTCCTATTTTTAAGGATAATTCCTTAAAAGTGAGAGCACTGGTAACATGGCTTCGTGCAGCTTGTCTCGCAATGTTTAATGCTTGGAGAGTTCCTATTGGCTCTCCCCAGTACACGCTTTACTTAAATTAAAATTTGGCGCCAAACAGCGCCTCTCCCTATTTTCTTCGCACGCCTCTGTCCCGTATCGTTGCGAGTTGCATGAATATCATTGCAGCGTGTAACACCTCTTGCAATGCATTATCAAAATCTTTTTTTAAACATTGCGAGACAAGTTGCATGAAAAATTGCACCGTGTAACAGGGCCTTAACCAATCACACAGCAGAACAAAAATAGAAAAATGAACAAATGGCGCATTGGCCAATCAGCATTAGGCCAAAAACAATTTTAACAAATAAACGAATGTCAAACAGTAAAAATAGACTTGAAAAGTAAACACTGCAGTTAATGGCTTCCTGAAGCTTTCTTTTGATTGGACGAGCTTTACTTTGATTAGATTTTTATTTTTGTTTTGCAATGTGATTGGTTAGTGTTCCACTAACTGTAGACGCACTGCAAGTTATTGGAAATTGTAGTGCTAACCGTAAACCTAAGTGTTTAAAATATACAATAACTATTTACATGTATATTACGATACACTTTTTCAGATGATAATGCGCATGTTGCAGACTTAATTTAATGAAACAAATTTCATTTTCTTAACATCATTTCTTTAGCCAATTGCAACTTTGACAATGGAGATACCTGCGGTTATCAAAATGGCGCTGGACAGTTTAATTGGAAGGTTAATAGAGGTTCAACATCCAGTAGTGGAACAGGGCCAAGCTCTGACGTCAGCGGCAGAGGTAAACTGTTCAATAAACTTTTAGGTTTTAACTTCAACCTCAAGTTCAACTTTGTGACGTTACAGTTAGTTTTAGTCAATGTGACTACGCTTTCCAACCTTTTACAGGTTTTTATCTGTTCATCGAAACTTCAAGTCCACGACAGTTCGGTGATAAAGCTACAATTTTAACATCTTACTTGAACGGCCCGCAATGTATGAAATTTTCTTACCATATGTACGGTGGTGGGATTGGAGCCCTGAACATCTATGCGAATAACCAAAGCATATTCTCGAGATCGGGAAATCAAGGAAACAGATGGATAAGTGAGGAAACGTCAATCTTACAAGGTGGAAGATATATGGTGAGTAAAGAAATCAGTATTTCAGACACACAGACATTACAAAATTTGAGCCAAAGACCATTCTTTTTCCAAAACGAGGAAGAAGAGGGCCCTGAGGAAATTTCAGTACGAACGTTGGTCATTCTCTTGTTGTGTCTGAACCCACAATACATTTGCCTCCAACCCGAAAGGATAATCCAATGCTGTTGTTGAACAAAAATTTAGTTTGATTTTCCTTTTCAAGAGCCAAAATGTAATTGATTATTCAAATTATTTGTATAAATATTTAAGGTTACGTTTGAAGGCGTTCGCGGTCGTAGTTACGAAGGTGATATAGCAATCGATGAAATCAGCTTCACTCCAGGAAGTTGCTCAGGTACTGTAGTGGTCTACCACTTCTACAATTTTTTAGTTAATACAACCAAGTCATTATATACCAATGACGATCACATGCCCGAGTTGTGGTCCACTGCGCTTTCATCTTCGAAGGTGAACCAAACAAAGAAGCACATACAATAACTCGATGCAAGCAAATATACCCTATGCTGGATCAACAGCAGCAGGCTCAATTCATCGTTAAGAAGCTAACCACGTCTGTCATTTCAACCTTCACGCCTTCCTATGTTATTATGGGTTGCATGCATGCATTCGCTTTTTATCTCGCAACTGCAGAGTTACGTTTGCATCTTCGTTTCCAGACCATATGTAGTGTTTTTATTGTCCTGTTTAGTTCACACTTCGTGAGGCCAGGGCGGGGTTGATGTCGAGTTAAATGATACGGAACTGGAAGTGAGTCAGGTCTGTTCACATGCCAGCCATCTATCGGCCAGGTGTCAAGCATAAACTTGTGCAAAGAGCTACTGACTTTTTTCCATCGAATGTCTAGTCAAGTAAAGCACAATTACAAGCTCTCCCATTTGGACAAATTGGATCATTGACTGAGTAAACCATGTACTAATATTACAGTGCGTTTGCAGCAAGTGGGACCACTTAGAGAACACTAACCAATCACACAGCAGAACAAAAATAGAAAAATGAACAAACGGCGCATTGGCGAATCAGCATTAGGCCAAAAACAATTTTAACAAATAAACGAATGTCAAACGGTAAAAATAGATTGAAAAGTAAACACTGCAGTTAATGGCTTCCTGAAGCTTTCTTTTGATTGGACGAGCTTTACTTTGATTAGATTTTTATTTTTGATTTGCAATGTGATTGGTTAGTGTTCTCTAAGTGGCCCCACTAACTGTAGACGCACTGCAAGTTATTGGAGATTGTAGTGCTAACCCTAAACCTAAGTGTTTAAAATATACAATAACTATTTACAAGTAATATTACGATACACTTTTTCAGATGATAATGCGCATGGTGCTGACTTAATTTAATGAAACAAATTTCATTTTCTCAACATCATTTCTTTTAGCCAATTGCAACTTTGACAATGGAGATACCTGCGGTTATCAAAATGGCGCTGGACAGTTTAATTGGAAGGTTAATAGAGGTTCAACACCTAGTAGTGGAACAGGGCCAAGCTCTGACGTCAGCGGCAGAGGTAAACTGTTCAATAAACTTTTAGGTCTTAACTTCAACCTCAAGTTCAACTTTGTGACGTTACAGTTAATTTTGTTTTGGTCAATGTGACTACGCTTTCCAACCTTTTACAGGTTTTTATCTGTTCATCGAAACTTCAAGTCCACGACAGTTCGGTGATAAAGCTACAATTTTAACATCTTACTTGAACGGCCCGCAATGTATGAAATTTTCTTACCATATGTACGGTGGTGGTATTGGAGCCCTGAACATCTATGCGAATAACCAAAGCATATTCTCGAGATCGGGAAATCAAGGAAACAGATGGATAAGTGAGGAAACGTCAATCTTACAAGGTGGAAGATATATGGTGAGTAAAGAAATCAGTGTTTCAGACACACAGATATTACAAAATTTGAGCCAAAGACCATTCTTTTTCCAAAACGAGAAGGAAGAGGGCCCTGAGGAAATTTGAGTACGAACGTTGGTCATTCTCTTGTTGTGTCTGAACCCACAATACATTTGCCTCCAACCCGAAAGGATAATCCAATGCTGTTGTTGCACAAAAATTTAGTGTGAATTTCCTTTTCAAGAGTCAAAATGAAACTGATTATCCAAATTATTTGTATAAATATTTAAGGTTGAGTTTGAAGGCGTTCGCGGTCGTAGTTACGAAGGAGATATTGCAATCGATGCTATCAGCTTCACTCCAGGAAGTTGCCCATTCCAAACACCAAAACCACCTACACCTCGACCAACAAATCCTCCAACATCATCAACAAACCCTCCCACACAAGCAGGTACTGTAGTGGTTTACCACTTTTACAATTTTTTAGTTAATACAACCAAGTCATTATATACCAATGACGATCACATGCCCGGGTTGTGGTCCACTGCGCTTTCAGCTTCCAAGGTGTGGATACTGACTTACTGCGACGTCCAATACCTTTTGCTAGGAACTTGCCTCGAATTTGGCTTTTGGCGCGAATTTCTACTTAATGTAATTACACAGGGTGTGGGTTCCAATTCACCCCACCAAGAGGCTAACGATAAATGTGCCCGACAACTAATGCCCAATGGATTAGTTTTCGATGAGGAAGAAAAATAGGTCGACCCGGAAAAAACTCATTGAGGACAGGAGAGAACCAAACAAAGAAGCACATACAATAACTGAATGCAAGCAATATACCCTACGCTGGATCAACAGCAGCAGGCTCAATTCATCGGCCTTCACGCCTTCCTATGTTATTATGGGTTGCATGCATGCATTCCCTTTTTATCTCGCAACTGCAGAGTTACGTTTGCATCTTCGTTTCCAGACCATATGTAGTGTTTTTAATTGTCCTGTTTAGTTCGCACTTCGTGAGGCCAGGGCGGGGTTGATGTCGAGTTAAATGATACGGAACTGGAAGTGAGTCAGGTCTGTTCACATGCCAGCCATCGATCGGCCAGGTGTCAAGCATAAACTTGTGCAAAGAGCTACTGACGTTTTTCCATCGAATGTCTAGTCGAGTAAAGCACAATTACAAGCTCTCCCATTTGGACAAATTGGATCATTGACTGAGTAAACCAAATACTAATATTACAGAGCGTTTGCAGCAAGTGGGGCCACTTAGAGAACACTAAAGGCTCTGTTACACGGTGCAATTGTTCATGCAACTTGTCTCGCAATGGCGTTGCGAGACAAGTTGCACGAGTCATTGCACCGTTTAACATGCCTTGCAATGGTCAAAATCGTTGCGAGACAAGTTGCATGAAGCATTGCAGAGAGTAGAAGTCGGTTCTACTTTTGGCAACGATTGCACTAATCCCCGAGCCGGCGGCGCGAAGCGCCGTGCGAGGGTACTAATTCCCCCCGGCTATTTACACCCGGGGAAACGAAAGCATTAGCGAAGTCTAAAGTTCATCAATGAGCGCGGGCGTCGGTCACCAACGATGGGTGGTCATCCTCACTGATCTCAAAAATATGGCGGACTGTCATGAATAACGGACACTGATTGGTCCAATTTAAAGTTTGCATTATAACGACTGCATGACGACAGCGAAATAGCAAACATTTCTTGATTTGATGAGTTGATGATTGATAAATTTCTTGCAAATATTCTTCATTTTTGCTCGTATTTCTGCAAGATTTTGTAAATTTCAAGAAAGAAAGGGCGAAAGAATCAGCTAAAGGAAGGGAGCCGACGTTAACGAAGGTAAGTTTGTTTTAAATATTGATTTTAGAATGGCTTTAAAACCCGACGGCCTTTGCGTATATGAATCAACTATTAAAACAAGACAGCATATAATTTCAGTGTATCTTTAATATTGATTCCCTTTTTATTATATTGAATTTTTTAAATAAAAAATAAAGCAAAGTTATTTGCAAGCGAGAATTTGAAATCATTTTATTGCAAACTCAAAGTTTATCGATAAAGCCATTTAATAGTTAAAGGCAGTTTAGTTTTATAAAGAACACTTTAAAACGTTTTGTGAATTGTTTGTGGTTGAATTTTACCTTAAATTGAAGCTTGTATTACGTATAATTACATACCTAACATATATATGTTGGGAAATTGATAATTTTGTAATTAAAAGTGATATTTTTAGGCGATTTTCATTTGTAAGAATATTCTTAAAAAATTATCGTGTTAACATGACAACTACTTCAGATATTTCATGTTCGGAAAATACAACGGTTTTGTCAGCAAGGCGAGGGTTTCTGCATGCATGTATTTTCTAGTTATATTTAGCATTGCAGCGTGTAACATGCAGTGCTCTCACAATCAAATTTTCGAATTCCTTAGAAAAAGCTCGAAAATTCCTCAGATTTCCTTATAATTCCTTAAATTGGAAAAATTATCAGAAGGCCTGATCACACAGTTGCAAAAGGTGTTTTTTCCTCCTTTTTTCAGTTTTTATAACCTTGTTTCTAAGCACTAAAATTTGAAAACATTTGATTGTTAAGCGTAATGCCATAAAGAAAACATTCAACATGATGTATTTTTGATTGTTGCTGCATGAAGAGCTTAAAAAATCTGTAGATTTCAGAAGAAACAGCATATACTGACATTTAACTTTTGAGAATTTTAATGAAAAGACCAGTAGCGGACACTTTACGAAATATGGGGGGGGGGGGAAGCTCGTGAAAAATTTTAAAATTTGAAT